TACCATACTGGCTACCTTTAGAGCTCGGAACATTTCCTGGTACCAATTTGTTGACCGACTTTGGACTCGTTATTTAAAAAAAAAAAAATTATGTCTCAATTAGGATACAAACTATTATTCCTAGGATAACCAGCAAGTGCTAGTCATTAAGCCACCCCAGTTCCACTACCACCATTAAATTCCGTTTAATTTTTTTTTTTTTTAAAGCTAGGTAAATTTCCTTTTCCACATCAGTGGTTTAAAAAAAGTAAAGATCCCTTTTCACACCTTTTGGTGCATCGGGCATATGGGCAGAACGTCCCATATTTTTACAGACCATCAGCACCCTGTGGTAATGTGGTCAGCATTACGCCGGCTGTCTTTACTTTCCCAGGACAGCCCATCCTGGTACCCATTTTAGGCTGGGTCGACCTGCGACGTCCCATACCACGGCAAAAATCCACGCAGCCTGCAGTGGGTTTCAATCGCGGTATGCTGGCTTACGAGTCGGACTCGCAACGCCTTAGCCACGGACGCGACATCAGTGGTTTACTGGGCATATAATGCTAAACTCACACATTTATAGGCTAATCAGCACTCAGTGGGTTATGTGGTCAAGAGGCTGTCAATCATTTTTACCTTCTGGTACCTATTTTGAGTTAGGTCAACCTGGAAGCCTAAGTAAATTTACAAACAGAAATTACCTCAAGTGTGAATTTCTTCTTCTTAGCTATCACTGGTAAACCCCGGCGGAAAGTTCTGGTTGTCCATTTTTGGACTTTAGTCTTGTTTAAGAACTTGAGTGTTACATGCACATCCATTTTACAGATTTGGCTTATGTGTATGCAGACTGCGGGTTCCTTGCCTCTCAGGCAGATGCACTGGGACTTTGAAGAAAACACCCCTAATTAGTCACCTCTAATAGCTTACTTGTTAGGGGACAGAGGGTCTGTTTTTATTTTCATCAAAATGGGGTCCCCGAACCCACAGAGAGGAAACTGCATTTTAACCCAAAGTCTTCAGGCCAGCATGAAAGCATCTAGGTTTTGGGCTGGGCTGATCTGGAGGCCAAGGTAAGTTTTTAAGGGGGAAAAAAAACTGCACTGATGCAGATTTAAACCCAAGACCTTTAGGGCAGCAGGCACCCATTTTTTTTTTTAAATTTAAGCCTAAAACAGTATTCACTTTACAACATTCTCAATAACAGTTTGTATTAGATAATCACCAAACAGTCACTAAAATGTGAAACAAATGAACTGAGGAAACAAGGATATCCAAAAGAAACTCTAAGATGAAAGTTGATAAGAGAAGCCAAAGATGCTGGACTGGATTCCATCCATGATATTAAAACATGTCCACTAGAAAGAACGGAATGGAAATATAGACTGGGAGCACTTTGTGACATATGACAGCAAAACAGGATGATAATGATGAACTGTTTTAGTATTAATGTTATCTGATCTTGTTTTCAAGACTTTCCAAAATAACGAAAATAATAAAACAAGGGATAACAATAACATTCTTAAAACATCATGAAACTGAATATGTTAAATTACACGGTATGTATAATACAAGCTATTCCCATTTAAATATTCTTTTTTTGGATGGTTTTTTATCTATATATTTGTCTTCCACAAGCATATTTGCCTTCTATCTTTCCCCCTGGAGCGAGTTTAAGATGTGTCTTATATCTTTTATGGGTACAAAACATTCTATTCTTCAAACATTGAACTTACTCAGTAATTATTCTCTTGTCATGCCTGGTGTAAGGTTGTTTTTTTTCCAAGAAGAAAATTACTTACAAATATTATGGCAACATTAAAAGTCATCATCCTCTTTTCTTCTTCTTCTGCGTTCACCCTTAACAGAGTGGCTGGAACAGTGTGTTGTGGTTTACAGCTAGGCAGCGATATCTGCACCTTTCGTCACAACACATCCTATTTCAGCAAATACCGAATTAGTCATCTTTTACCCCAAATAGGGTCCAAGAATCAATATGGGAAACCCTCTTATAAAAATGACCCTACCAGGAAAGTAGGGGAGTAAGAGGAAGGCAACGTAAGAGTAAGAGGAGAAAAATCAGGACAGAACAAACCAGCAAACTGCCACCGTTTATAACCAAATCACAGAGACAGAGAAAATATAGAAGTCCGGTGCAGGCAACTTTCTTCTGGATATGGCAACTGGCTGACTGACTTCAGACTTCAAATCAATCAGGTGCCACCTCCACAATTAAGGTTGGCTACAATGAATCTCCAACATGCTCTGTCTTTTACAATGAATTCACACTTTCTCAGACTACTGTTTTCATTTAACTTGATGGTATCGTTGTCTGGCTCTTGCTTCTTTGCCTTTAACTTTTCCTTCCAGTATGGTTTTATAGGAATGTTGTTGCCTGTAAATTAACAACCTGGGAAAAAGACTGTCCGTCGAAGACAGTCTCCATGTATGTTTACTGATTGGTTACCCACGAGTTGCTGACATTTATAATTTGACCCCGTTAGTAGATCTGGAGATATAATCGCTATTACAACAACTGACTGACTAACTGCCAACATTGGCCAACCATTATTGCTGCGGTGGGCAAACAGAGCAATGTTGTAGGCAAGAATGGTTGTAAACATGTCAAGGCCGGCAAATTAAGTGCGTCCAGGCCACACAAACGTGTACTGAGAATGATGATGTAAAAGAAAATGCACAATGAAAATGACATCATAAACGCTGACAACAACACAACACCCCTAAAATGGTCAAATGGACTGGGGATATCCAGGATTTCCCTTGAATAAGAGTCGTTTAAAAATACTGTAACCTCTTTTAATTACTAGTCTTATTAAAAGCTTTGGATGGGGGAACTGATAGAAATATTAAAATACGAATACGAAAGGCAAGAGGAGTTTTCAAAGCACTAGGAAATTTGTGGAGGTCAAAAGAAACTAACATTAAACTTCAAATTCCAAATGTAATGTCAAATCAGTATTTCTGTGCGTATTGGAGACATGGAGAACAACTAAAAGAACTGCCAATAAACTACAAATACTCATTAACTGGTGCCTGCATAGAATAGATCAAATTAAATGGTATCTTCTTCTTCTTCGCGTTCACCAGCTGTACACTCTGGCGTAAAGTTCTGGTTGTTCGTCCACTTTTGGACTGTAGCCCTGCTCCAGAACCTGAGTTTTGCGTGTGCATCAGTTTTACAGATCTGATTCAATTGAATGTAGACTGCTGGTTCCTTGCCTCTCAGGCAGATGCACTCCGACTTCAAAGGAAGCTCCCCAGGTAGTCGACTCTTACGACATGCTTTTGGGGAGGCAGTGGGTCTATTCTTGTTTTCCTCACAATAGGGCCCCGGAACCCACACGGGGGGATTAAATGGTATGATAGAATCACTAAAGAGGTTAAGAAAAGACGCTGACAATGGATAGGACATATGTTGAGAAAACTTGAGAATATAACTAGAATGTCTTTGCACTGTAACCCATAGAGGAGAGGCATAGAAATAAAGGCAGACCAAAAAATGCAAAGAGAAAGGAGCTAGAGGGTGAAGTTAAAAAGAAGGGGAGAACAGGTATGCAACAGCAGAGGATAGAATATAGAATGACTTGGTGTAAGTTGGCTGAGAGCCCATGCTCCATTGGGGGATACAAAGCAGAAGAAGAAAAGGTTTGTATTTGTTTCCATGAAAACTATAAAAATCAACTCCTTCTCTATATCCACATCTCAAGACTCAACATGATTTTCTGATTGCAGCACTGGTGTTACACACTTTGAAACTACAGTTCATCTTGATTTTATAATTCTTAACCCTCTTAGCACGGACGGGCCGATTATCGGCCGTCTCATGTCTGGCCAAAAACACGGAACGGCCGATCATCGGCCCGATCGTGTTTCGCGCCGACACGCTAAGAAATCTCCTTTTTTGAAACACAGAAAGTGATTCTTTTATATTCACTGCTGTATTAGCTTTACACATGGCGACTGTATAGTGTTTGGTATCGAAGTGAAAATTGTTGTTGAATTATTTAGATAGTGACCTGAACCGCTAAAAGTATGTCTGACTCGTATGTTTCTGCCCCTAAATCTGATGTTGATAAAACATTTGAAACAAGTGATGACACTAATTCTATTGATACTGATGCAGGATCTAGTGTTAGTAGTAATAGTGGGGAATCAGATGGGGACGCTGTTGTGTTCAGACCACAGCTCAACCCTGGCTCAGGGTATATCCATTCGAAGATGTTGACACTCCGGCACATCCATTTCTTGTGCTGACTGATGGTCAGAAACACATGTCACCTAAAGATATTGCTGTTTATATATATATATACCTGTTTTTGACTATTGAATTGCTTACAACATTTGTAAAAAGGCCAAAGATCAATAAAAAGATTTCAAATAAAATATATTTTTGTTTTTAGTTATGTGTTTCATACTGTGAAGTTGAAAATTCACATTCTAATTTTCTATTTTTAGATATGCAAATGAGATCATTTGCATGTGCATCAATTAATTGTAACGATATTGTGAAAATCATGAACTTCAATCTATATTCTTCAAATAAATATATTATTTCATGGCGGCCAGAATAACAGAAATGTATCAAAAAATAAAATAAAGTTATAACCAAATTTACTGAAAAAATGCTCCGTGTTTTTGGCTAGACATCTAAAAAAACTTCCCGTGCTAAAAGGGTTAATAACCCCACCCTACATATGAATTTGCAAAACGAAAAGTAACACTCACATTTTTAAGCAGCTGACAACTTCATCTGTAAAACCCTGGACTGCCACCAAGGCATCAGCTTTACTCAGCAACAACCTCACTGGAAATGATCTTGACCACCATTTGTCTTCATCAATATTCTTAACGGAATCTCCACCTTGATCAAATGAAGCTGATCTATTTCTTTTTCTGGACAAACTGCTTACATTTTCAAGAATTCCAGAAGTCAAGCAAACACTGTTGTTTTTCGGTCTAACTGATGGAGAAAATGATAAACAGGATGCTTGAAGTTCAACTGAACAATTTATTATTTCATCAGGAGACTGAGAATGTTGGGAAAGGCTAAAGAGGCTGTGTTGGGAATGAGCACCGTCTTCTTTGTTAGTCTCTGACTCCTTGTGCTGTGATAAGTGAGGCAGCATGCCATCAGTGGATAAGATGGGATAAAACTCATCACATAGCGACAGACATTCGCTGTGACGCTGGGCAAGAGCTAGTGTTTCAACAGTTTCCACAACAAGTTCCCTCACATCAGTGTTTAGCAGTGGCTCATCAGAATTTGATTCCTGAAATGTATAACAAATGTTGTTATCTCTCATCAAAAACTGATTGCTAAAAGGTAAATAACAAATGTAAACACTGTCAATGACTCTTCAGAAGTTAATTCCTGAGATGTATAACGAATATTCACTCACTATAAGTTGATTCCTAAAATGTAAGTGTGTGTGTGTGTATGTACATATATATATATTTTTTTTAAAGTATCCAGAAACCTTGAGTTTTACCGTTTGGCTCGATACTATGGATATTGCAACCCTTCGGCCTTGATTCCATGATAGATACCATAAATCTGGGAGATATGTGGCTTTTCTGCCTACCCACGGGTGTGAACTCGGACCTGAAGGTTCGTCACCCGGTTGCAATGAAGACAGGTTTAACCAACTATACTAGCAAGCCCAGCGTGTGCGCGTATATATATATATATATGTGTGTGTGTGTGTATACACACATGTTTTTATAAAAAAGACCCCTCTTTCCTGCTCTCTTTGGAAACATTACGCAGTGAAATCCCAATCTCTTCCACAGTTGGATCCTCATACCATTGTCTGAATGTCAAAAGAATGGTTTAAAAAAAAAAATAAACGTCAGCTGCATGAACTGAACTCTGATAAGTCAAAGGATCGTAAAACACTTCCTATAACATCTAAGCCATACAGCCATACATAAAAAAAGGCATTTATTTGAAAAAATGAAAAGATAGGGAGCAAAACCAATAATGAATGAAAACAAATGGGGAAAAAATGAAGCAAACATTAAGGTGCACATCTTAATGACATAATTAAAAATGTTTCTAAAAAGTATCGGCGTCTGTGGCTTAAGTGTCGCAAACGCGCATTGTAATGCCGGGGTGCTGGGTTCGATCCCTGCTGCGGATGATTCGTCTTGCTGACCATTCAGATCGCAATGGCAAACTAATAAATTTAAAATATGCCCAGAAAAACCACTACAGCCAATAAATGCTGGGGTTGGTTCTGCAACTTCCTGTAAAGGATATGCAACTAAATTTTTTTTTTTTTAGTATTTGATACAGACAACAACGATAAAATGTGCATTTCAGAAAAACTCACCAATGTAAAATTCTCAATATTTTTTAGCAAATCCAGCAATTTGAGATAATGCTCTGCAGCTTCTTTGTATCTGCAAACCAAAATAAATCAGTTTGTATAAAATAATCTGGGTCAGATTTGGAAATGCTCTTAGCTTTAAGAAGCTTTGAGAACTCTTGTTTAAAAAAACAAAATACACTAGAACACTTACTGTTTGTGATATTGTGAACCTCACTGATCTACTTTTCGTTCGGTTTGATATCTTTTCACAACACTTGGAAACATACACTATAAAAGTAAAGAAAATGACTATTTTGAAGCCAGTCATGCACTGAGTATATGATGCAAGACTCGAAGTTTAATAGATCAACTTAGGGGGTAGTCAAAATCCGAATGGCTGCCTTTACTGGTACCCATTTTAGGCTAGGTCAACCTGGGAGCCAGGTCAATTTTTTAAAAATGCCGGCTTCATGCAGATTTAAACCCAAGACATTTGGGCTGACAGGCAAGCAACTCGCAACTACGCTACAGCCACTCCCATATACTTGCATGCTTTGTATTATTTAATAGCATGACATTTAAACGCAACAAAATGCAATTTACTTTCAGATTAATGCATTTATTAATTACATAAAAATCTGCACTCATTGGCACCTTTCCGTCTTTCCAGATGATCAGACGATAGTGTTATATTGCGCTATGAGGAGGCATGAGACTCACAGCCCATGGCGATGGCGAGTGTGACTAGCAAGACCCACCCGTGTCAAGAAAAATCTTCCACGATGATAGTATGGGATTTCAGGACCATTGTTGTCAACATTTGTGTTTAATACATTTCTTTTCAGACGCTCAGCTCTCATCCTTTCTGCAATCATGTCTTCCTTCACTCTCTTTCCCTTCCTGATATGCCTTTTCCACACAACACGGTCCAAGGCATTTTGTTCCCATGAGTCCGGCTCAATACCTTATCATTCATGGCCCGCTTGCACACATCTTTATATCGTAGTAGAGGTCAGCCTCAACATCTTCTTCCTGTCTTTAATTCACCATAAAGGATGTCCTTAGGGACTCTGCCATCCATTCTCCAGGTGTGACCCAGCCACCATTTCTAATATGAATGAGGATTTTTTTTTTTTGCCGTTAATATCTCCGTACAGTTTAACTGGGCTTACTGAGAGGCAGAGCAGTACTTCGAGAGTTTTTTGTCTGCGTTATAATCTCTGTAAATTATTTACACACGTACACACAAAACAACCAGACTAAATCCCAAAAGAAATGTGCAGCAAGGAACTAAAGGGGCGCTGAAAAGATTGGGTGAATGTGGATCAGCTGCATGCAGTAGCAAATGCTAGGACGACTTGGCATGAGTTGGCTGAGTGTCTGTGCTCCATTGGGGAATAAAGGGCAGACAAAGAGGACACATCAGGACTGGGTCTCATTTTAAATTAGCTACACAGGTAGCCTTATTTGCATAAACATGAACATATACAAGAAAAAAGTAACAGACTACACAGCACAGCAGAAATGGCGGGACTGAGAATAAATACAAAGAAAACTAAGATCATGACAAGCAGTCCAAACCAACAACCAGTGACCACAAATAACCAAACTCTTGAAAATGTAGAACATTTCACATATCTTGGCAGTGTGGTGTCCCTACCGGGAGGGACCGGAGAGGACATACAGTCACGACTGAACAAAGCTAAAGCTGCTTTTGGAAGGATGAGGCAAATCTGGAAATCCAACAATTACTGCAGAGGAACGAAACTCCGACTCTACAAGAGCATAATTTCTTTATGGAGCGGAATGCTGGAGAATGACCAAAAAAGATGCACACAAGCTGTCCACCTTCCACCATACATGTCTACGTAGAATTACAAAAATTTTCTGGCCAGATACAATCTCAAACACTAAACTACTTCAAGGCACAAACAAAGAAACTTTAGACAGTACCAAGAGAAGATGGAAATGGCTATGAGAATGAATTCTGATATACCTGCCAAAACAGCTCTCACATGGACACCAGAGGGAAAGAGAAAACAAGGGCACCCAAAAACAACATGGATACGAATGATGGAAAGTGACCTGAGTGCGGCATCTTTGACATGGAAAACTGCACTGAAGATTGCACAGGACAGGAAAGCATGGTAAGTCCTCTCTGAAGCCTCATGTGCCACTAGGCATAACGAGAACTGATGATGATGATTAGGGACTCTGCCATCCTCCATTCTCCAGGTGTTACCCAGCCACCTGAGCCTTCGTAGACTAAACCTGCACTGATCCCTATCATACAACACCACCTTTAAAAAGTTTCAAAGTTACATGTGTAATCTTTACAGGATATCGCAAAACAATCCGGGCATTTGTTGGCGGTTTGTGTGTGTTTTGTTAGACAATTTTATGTTCAGTAGTTTGCCACTGCTTCTTGAACAGTGACTCTTCATATAATTGTCAAAATCAACACAAAATGGTCTGCTAACGAACAGCTGGATCAACTTGGGTTTTTCAGAATTACAACTGAAAATTAGAAGCTTCTTCTTCTCTGCATTCACTAGCTGTAAACTCAGGCGGAAAGCTGTGGTTATTCGTCCACCTCTGAACTTTAGTCTTGTTCCTGAACCCGAGTGTTGCATTCACATCCGTTTTTGCAGATCTGGCTTCTCTGTAAGCCTCGCTGACAGATGCACTTTGACTTTAAAGGAAATATCCCTAATTTGTTGTCTTCTAGGTAATACTTGTTAAGGGGGCAGTGGGACCAATAATTTTTTTTTTTTTTTTTGTTCGGCAAAATGGAGCCCTGGAACCTGCACAGGGATGTGAGATGGCAAAATATGACAGTGTATGCTTTTCAGCCTGGCACATGATGATGATGAAGAGACAATCTGACTGAGTACTTATGGAGACTGTTGCCAGTGTTAGAGTTGTTTTCAAGACTTACGGTAGAGTCCACAGTTATTTCTAGACTGGCAAGAGATACAAGCAGAAGAGATTGAGGGGTTGTTAAGTTGCCATGCATGTTGCCAAATGAAGACAACAGTACTGGGGTCACCAGATGGATCAATGGTGGAAAATTCTAAATGAAAATGCCAGTTCAGTGGTGAAAAAGTGTAATCCCCAAAAACAATTTCTGTAATTCATCCTCATGATTAGGTTTTTTTAAACGTATTATCTTCTCATTTGTATCACTGTCATACCACGAGCCTGAGGATGTAGAAAAGGTTTCTTGTCTTGTTTACTCACCTATGAATCTGAGCACAGCATCTGGCAAGGCTATGGACTGCACACACAAGAGTGACCCTTGGCATAAATTGAAACACAGCCATCACAATAGCTTCAAAGTTTGTTGTAAACATACGTCTCTCATTTCTGACAGATCTAGCTGACAGCATCTAGGAATATTTGCATAATGAGAAATTAAATGTATTTCTAGGTAAAAGTGAACAGAAATGAAATAAATATGAAACAAATGCTGTCTTTGATAGCCAAACATGTAACCCCCCTCTAATGTTTACTTCCTTCTTTTTCCTTTGTAAACCTGTCTTTCAAATGGGTACACGTATGGTTATGTTATTCCAAAGATATTCCCCCTGTTACATAACCTTTTGACGTCTAAGAGCGGAGAGGGATAGTTTTCTGGAAACACCATATACTGCCCTTTGAGACAGCAAGTGACAGGAGAATAGGGATAAACAGCACCATACAGCCAGTGGTGGAAAAAAAGTGGGGGGGGGAACACCCTGGCGTCATCACTGAGGAAGTAACAAAATAGAAAAAATATGTTTAAAAAAAAATATAATTTTATAAACATATATAAATTACACACACATATAATACACATATATGTGTGTGTTATATATATATATACACACACATATATAAAATACATATTTACATGGGGGGGGGGGGATTGCAGGAAATGTTCTGCACCAGGTACCAGCTGACCTTACTACGCCACTGCAGACAGCATGAACTACAGTATAAAACTAATTTCACAACAGACACCCACATAATCATTTAGCTATTTATAATAGTTTTTCTTGCTGGGATTGTGAAAGTGCTTTCACAAAGTCTAAGTCACAGCTACCAAACATCTGGAAGTAAGAGAACAATAATCATATTCAGACTGGGAATGAGCGAATAAGGCTACCTGTGTAGCTAATTTAAAATGAGACCCAGTCCTGACGTGTCTTCTTTGTCTGCCCTTTATCCTCCAAGCATTTGCTACTGCATGCAGCTCATCCATGTCCTCCCAATCTTTTTAACGCCCCTCTCTAGTTCCCTGCTGCACATTTCTTTTGGGATCTAGTCTGGTTTTCTGTGTGTGTAAATAATTTAATGAGATTATAACGCACACAGAACTCTCCAAGTACAGTTCTGCCTCTCAATAAGCCCAGTTAAACTGTACAGAGATATTAACACAATTAACAAAAAAAGAACATCCTCATTCATATTAAAAATCACAGAGAATGAACACACACACACACAAATCACAAGTTAAGAATCAGAGAAAGAAACACACACACACACACACAAATCACAAGCTAAGAATCAGAGAAAAAACACACACACACACACACACACAAATCACTAGCTAAGAATCAGAGACAGAACACACACACAAATTTCAAGCTAAGAACAGCTGAAACTATTACAGCAAGTTCTTCACTTAAAATGAATAAATACAAAATATAGTAGGAAAGCTTATTTGAAAGAAATATGTACCCCAAAAAAATTTAAAATAAAAAAACTAAAATATTTAGCTAGAAAATGGAATCAACATAATCAAATATAAGCAATCCACATGTCTGAATAAAATTACTTGCATAAGACTGCAAGTTCAGGAAACAAAAGAAAGGTGTAATATAAGGTGTCAAAACTAAATTTAAAAAAAAAGCTAAAAAAAATTAAATTACAAACAATTTATTGAAAATACAACCTTCACTAGTAAATTCAGAATTTCCAGCTTTAACTCCTGCTGTCCCACTACATCATAGATGTCTGCTAGATGCAATAAGACAGGATGGTGTTCTTTATAAACATGCAAAGCATCCTTGTAAGTCTGTATGGCCAATTGTGGGCAGCCCTATGTGAAATTGAATAACAAGAAATCAAAAAATAAAATAATACGACTGCCCTGATAAAACAGGCAGTTCCATTTGATTGTTGTTGAATTTGTACTTCAGTTATAAAGGATTCCCTTATTTGCTTCATTTTTTTTAATTGTTACTGTAGTAGGCACCTGACGAGATACAGCAAAATATGCCAGGCAGTAAACTGTGCAATCTATTGATTGTGTCTTCTTTGTTCTAATAAAATGTAGTTGTCTGGACAACCACTGATCTCAATATTTATAAGACAACAACAAAATGGTGTTATATTGGGCACATCCTACTGCATCACAGCCAAGTGTTCTAACCAGACAACCACTCTTCAAGTAAACCAACTATAAAAAAAAACAAGGACACTTGGAGCGAACTGGTCAAATGCCTATACCCTAATAGTAGATAAAGGACAATAGAATATAACAGAGGTATATACATTTTTAACATTTAACCCGGATACCCAGAGATGGCTAAATATACGTCACTTCCGGTTGTGACACAGCTCCATACATTTCTATCTATCACTATTTCTGTCTTTTCTATAAAAGTGTAGTTAAATGCCACAGGTTGTGTGTGGGACTGTATAATGTTTAGGAGGCCTAGATGTGAATATGTTAACTAAATATAGTATTTAGAGGGTTTTCCTTGAAAATTCAATAGCTTTTTTGTTTAAAAGCCAGGCTGACTTTAATTTTCCCCTAAGCTAGATAGAGGTCAGTGCATAAGTCACCTGACACATATTTTTTTTTAGACCCCAGGGAATGCATTCCATTTGAAGCTTCCCGTTGTTCTTGTTTCTGATTACTCCCTTTACATGTCTTTATATATTTCTTAACTTAAGAAGAAAAATGTAGATCTTCTTCTTCTTCACGTTCACCAGCTGTAAACTCTGGCGGAAAGTTCTGGTTGTTCATCCACTTCTGGACTGCAGTCCTGTTCCAGAACCTGAGTGTTGCGTGTGCATCCGTTTTACAGATCTGACTGATTTGTATGAAGATTGCTGGTTCCTTGCCTCCCAGGCAGATGTACTCAGACTCTGAAGGAAGCTCCCAATTAGTCGGCTGTTACAACATGCTTTTGGGTAGGCAGTGGGTCTATTCTTGTTTTCCCTATAACAAGGCCCCATAACCCACACAGTAAACAAAAATGTAGATAAATGTAAAAAAAAAAAAAAAAAATTTTTTTTTTACTCAGTTACCTGTGTAAATTGGATTTTTTTAAAAAGAATTTTTTTAAACTGAAATTTACATAGGTTCATGGGTCTTTTTTTTTTTTTTTTTTAATTTTAGCATTCGCAAGGCAAAAGGGTTAACAATGATGACAACAAATTTCAACCCAATGCTGAGAGGGACTTTGATGGACACAAGCAGATTGATATTTTGGCCACATTAACAGATATACCACTCTTATTAAAACCTAACTGCAGGGAAAAGCTGAAGGCAAGAGGTGGAGAGTGGTGCCTATTAGAGAATAACACCCAAAAATAGACATTTAATAGTTTCAGAGAGTTTACAACCAAGGCAAGAGACAGAGCCTGTTGGAAATTTATTGTAGCCAACCTTCATTGTGTAGATGTCACCTGATCAACTGATTCTCAAAATTAATAAAGAATTTTTTTTTTTTACTGACTAAAAGGACTACATTAAAACCTCAACAAGAAATCATCATTATTCGAGTTTACAACCAAGGCAAGAGACAGAGCCTGTTGGAAATTTATTGTAGCCAACCTTTTTTGTGTAGACGTCACCTGATTCAACTGATTCTCAAAAATTAATTAGGAATTTTTTTTTTTTTACTGACTAAAAGTACTATCATAAAACCTTAACAAGAAATCATCATTATTCGAGTTTACAACCAAGACAAGAGACACAGCCTGTTGGAAATTTATTGTAGCCAACCTTTTTTGTACTTACCTGTTTCTGATAGCATGTAGCAAACTGGCACAACAATACTGCCTTTGCTTCAGGATCTAATGGCTGTGAAAGTTCCAGCTCTAGCTTCTTCATGGCCGAGACATACTGATCTTTTTTAATTAACCTGTTGCCTGAAGAGTGAAAATATGAGGTTAAGCTTCTTTCTTGTGCTCAAAGATAACATAAAAGTTCTGTGAGCTAATCTAGCTTTCACTTTTACTGTTGTACATTTACTAATCTAAGAAGAAGAAATTTTATAATTGTTCAGTCATTTATTGAGACAGACGCTTATTTTTTTTTTTTAAACACAGTTCTGGAGTAGTAGTAGCAATTTAACCAATAATATCCTGTTCAACCCTCCATGGTTATTTTAAAGGATTACAGAACTTTTTGTATTTTTCCATGCTGGATATTTATGCTTGTCTAATACTACTTGGAACACAACTAAAAGAGATGAAGCCTTATTAAAAAATTTTTTTGAAAACAGAGTCTTACGAGGAATCTTTGGACCCATTAAAGATGCAAACAGCGGGCAGTGGAGAGTGAGAAGCAACAATGAATTTCATAATCTGGTTAAACCACCACTGATCACTTGATTCATGAGAGTTAATAGACTGAAATGGCTGGGGCACAATGAGAAAATGTCAGAAGATAGAGAAGTAAAAACTGTATACACAAGGGAGATGAATGGTTGTAGACCACGAGGCAGACCAAGAAGACAATGAGGAGATATATATTCGGACAGACCTGCAAACACTTGGTGTCACCAACTGGAAAGAAAAGGCCAACCAGAGGGATGAGTGGAGGTGTGTGATATCTGCAGCAATGAACCCCAAGGGCTGATGAAGAAGAAGAATACTACTAGTGGTTACTAAATACTTATCAGATTATATGTTCAGTATAAGAGTTGACAGTTTATAAGATTATAAGTGTTAAGTATAATATATTCATCAAATAATTGTAATAATTAGAATGTATTATCCATCTCTGGGAAAATTTAAAGTGATCTGGGTTATTAATATTTTGCTTTGGGATATTAATACCTTAAATACAAATTTTTGTGTTCTTGTGATGTAGTGTTGAATATTTTCCAGTCGTTCTCTAAAGCTGCCTGTCTTTAGCATGTTTTCTATTGTCATAAGCTTATTGTAGTTGGTTATGTATTCTCTTAGCAGAATCGTTTCTTCACATTTCTTGCAATTGACTTATTATGTTTCTGACGTTCAGAACAGTTATCTTCTGTTAAGCGTGAATTAATCCACCCCAAGTTGAAGTCTCAGTAATTTTTTTTATTAAGGTTCACCTTTGACTTAAATTAATACTCAAACTCTAAACTAACTGAAAAGAAGTATTTATAAGAAACATAACGTTTTACCAGTATTTATCTTTCTGGTAATAAGTCACTCACACTGTAAAAATGTATCCAGCCATTGCCATTCTCTGTGCTGCACTGACCCAATCTCAAGAGTCAGCTCACTGGACAGTGTAATCAGCCGGACAAAATCACCCACACAGATGCTGGTTTCATCAGCTAGTTTGTTGTTGTTTTGCTTGCACAATATAAGACCTTGTTTATATGGGAACGCCTCCTAAAAAAATATAAAAAAATTAGAAATCTCAATTCTGTTTGCATCTGCACAATGGAACTTGAATGTGGTCATTATGTGCTCCACCGCTGTCTTTTTGAATATTAAGCCATGAGGCCCTAATCTCTTCCAAAGGCTGACTCTTGTACCACTGTCAAAACGTCACAAGATCAGTCTTTTTCTAAATCGCCTCCCACTTATAGATTGTGAAATCTGTTTATTAACCTTTAAGATACAGAGCTGCATATGGTAATAATGAAAAGAGATACAATAAAAACAGAAGATTTTGGTCTGGTTCAAAACTGGTTCAATTACTTTATCATTTAGTATTGTTTTTTTCTCAAAGAAGAAATCAAACAAGGGCATCACACACAGTTACCTCTAAAACAGATTTCCCAACAGTTTTTACCAGCTGCCCGAGAGAAACTAGCAGGCTCTTTGTCTTCTCCAGCTCGCCTTTCTGCCTTGAATATACACAGCACAGGCTACACAGCAACACAAGCCGACCAAGACTGTCAAATACTGTCAAAAATAAAAAAAGGAAGAAAAATTCAAAATGACGACATTTCAACTGATGGTTGGTTGTGAATCTTTGGAAGATTTATTTTCAATTCTCCTTTTGCTTCTTTTAAATTTTATTGAACACCAAACAGTAGTTTCATGTGCGGGTTCTGGGGTCCTATTGTGGGGAAAACAAGAATAAACCCACTGCCTCCCCAACAAGCATGTCGTAGGAGTTGACTAACGGGGGGTTTCCTTCAAAGTCGGAGTGCAAGGAACCTAAATTCTGCATTTAAATAAGCCGGATCTGAAAAATGGACGCACATGCAAAACTCAGGTCCTGGAACAAAGCCGAAGTCCAGAAATAGACGAACAACCAGGTCTTTCGGCCGGGGTTTACAGGCAGAAACGCAAACAATCAACAACAACATGAATTCTTCCTTTTTTTATGGTTGGCACGCTGTTTTGTATTTACAGCTAGGCAGCAAAATCTGTGCTTTCTGCGCAACACATTAAATTTAGGCAAATCCCTAATTATGTTGACACATTTCTGCCTTTTCCAGGTAATAGTGTTATTCTGTGCTATTGAGGGGCATGGGAATCACAGTCCATGGCAATACTGAGTGTGACCAACAAGACTTAACTAGTCCCCTTTTAAGAGAAGACTTAGTGGGCAGTGGTGTTCCCCCCCCCCCTCCCCCACGCCTCTTTTTCTGTGTTCACTGGCTGTAAACTCCAGAGGAAAGTTATGGCTGTCCATCCACATCTGTTTCAGAACTTTAATTGTGCATGCACACCTGTTTTACAGATCTGGCTTAATTTATATGCAGACTTTTGGTTCACCCCTCTCCCCCCAAATAGGCCCTAGAGCCCACACAGGGAACCCCCCCCCCCCCCAACCCACACAGAAAGTTTCACTTCTGCAGTCTAAAACATTGTTTTCTAGATATCTAAGCCTAACAAATTCACACTCAGATCACATCGGTATGGGGACTGCAGGACCAATGAAATACCCTTTATGGACAGGACATAATATGGTAAAAGAAAAGATATGTAACTGTCACACATGTTTACAGAAAGAAATTTTTCTCAAGTCAGATTTTATAATGCTTCAAGAATTGAAACTTGCACATTGCATCAAACAGAAATTATGTCTCAAATGGTTCAGAAACATGGCAACTAGTTTTTCAAGCACATGCTTACATATTCATTTCATAACCTTCTAGACATACCTGATATGTAAATACGCCAACCATACAAGTACACACACAGTCTCACCCCGTGTGGGTTCCAAAGCCGCAGTGAAGGGAATAAAAATGAATAGACCCAATGCTTCCTAACAAGCATGTGATAAAAGTCGACCAATTGAGGGATGTTTCCTCTAAAGTCAAAGTTCATCTGTCTAAAAGACAAGGAACGAGCAGTCTTCATAAAAATAAACCAGATCTGTAAAATGGATGCACAACAAAACTCAGGTTCTGGAATAAGACTACAGTCCAGAAGTGGATGAATAACCAGAACTTTCCACTGGAGTTAACAGCCAGTGAACACAAAAAAAAGAAGAAGAAGAAGAAACAGTCTCACATCCTTTATGCCAGGACTGTTCAACTAAGTTTATCAGGGGCCACAATTTTGAAAATGGGGATAGTCAGTTGCCAGAGGCCTAAGCAGAAGCATAGAAAGATCGTTAATACAATACAACAGGCAACGATCAGCCAGCCACTTGCTATGCCTCTGTGGGCCACCTGCTATGCCTCTGTGCCAGGACTGTTCAATTAAGTTTATTCAGGGGCCACAATTTTGAAAATGGGGTTAGTCAGGTGCCAGAGGCTCAAGCCGAAGCCTTGAAAGATCCTTAATACAATACAACTGGCAATGATCAGCCGGTCACTAGCTAGGTCTCCGTTGGCCACTTGCTAGGTCTCCGTGGGCCACTTGCTATGTCTCTGTGGGCCACTTGCTATGCCTCCGTTGGCCACTTGCTAGACCTCTGTGGGCCACTTGCTAGGCCTCTGTGGGCCACTTGCTATGCCTTCGTTGGCCACTTGCTAGGCCTCTGTGGGCCACTTGCTATGCCTTCGTTGGCCATTTGCTAGGCCTCGGTGGGCAACTTGCTATGCCTTGGTGGGGCCACTTGCTAGGCCTCCCAGGGTCACTTGCTATGCCTCCGTAGACCACTTGCTATGCTTCCATGGGCCACTTGCTATGCTTCCGTGGGCCACTTGCTATGCTTCCGTGGGCCATTTGCTAGGTCTCTGCAGTCCAAATTTTCCCCACTGGTTGAATAGCCCTGCTTTATACTTCACAAGAGATTTGACAATGGAAAAAGGTAAAATCTATATTTCTGGACAAGCTGAATAATCCTTACTGTTTCTAATTATCACGGTACAACAAAATATTACTTTACAACAAAGCAAACACACATTATTGTTCATGAGTTCATTTGTTTCCTGCATTCTTTTTTTCAGACAAATTTGAAATTCTGGAAAAGTTTGATGTAACCAACTCATTACTTACATCTGAAACGTGATATAGGATCTTGCACAACTTTCACAATTTTCTTCACAGCCAGCTCAATATCTGTTTCTTTCCCTGATCCCATGTCAGGTACAACAGGGGCATTCAATGCTAACTGCAAAACTATTAACAGTTTTTATTAACTTGATCAGAAACCAAAACAGTTCATTTGACATGTACAAAATCATCACACCTTCAAGAACAGAATAGTCAACTGTCCGTATCATGTTGATGAACACAAAAATTCAAGAGCTTATCGGATGCACCTTGTCAACTCCAGAGGCAAAAGTGAGGTTGAGTGAGGGCAGCATTCCATTGACTCTAAATCTAGGTTCAGCTGGGTAAAGATTCAACATCACAGCATCGAGGATAAGCCTGTAATAGCTCCGTCTCCCTTCTCAACAGCCCCCCAAAGAGTCCCCTTACTGATGGTACCTGTTGTCAGCGGGTTTACGTCTAGTCTTGCCTTTCTCCTAAGTCTCGAGTGATGCCCAGAGTCTGCAGAAATACCCCTCTGTATATGTGATGTTGAATGTTGAGTTAAGAATTGACATCACAGCACTTGGGACACTTCCACAACCACTGTCCCCATCTTCAGCAGCAAGCAAAGAGTTCCAGTTCCAAAAGGCAACCAGTAACTGTCTGACTGTACATCCATTTCGCCCTTCCCTTGAGTGCTGAGCACTGGCCAGATCTGCTGGTAACTCCACCAGCACCATTCTTCTCAGACTGCAAAAATTAATGTGTTTCCTCCTCACCGTTCACTTGCTTCCAAAGGGCCCTCTCAACCTCTAGCTTGTCATACATCAATTCAACACCAAGTGATGCATAATCGGCCAGTCAATCTGCCTGCTCATTTCCCAACACACTGGCATCACCTGAAGAAAATGTCCAAAAGGACGCTGACTACCCGATACTTCTGAAGCAATGCTTCCCCTTCTGCACGGAGCTTGTCTGTTTCCACCATCCAAGTACGGATACTCTAAATCCACCTGTTTCAAGTAAAAGCTCTAATAATACACCCACCCACATTGGACTGCAGGCTACTTCGCAACAGTAGAGTGCCCAATATAATTGCTAAAGGTTGAACAGGGTTTCTGGAATTTGCTACTGTCTGGCTCTCATCCACAAGATGGTAATACTATACAATGCAGTCCTGGGAGATAAGATATTTTACAAAGGTAAAAAGTTAGTAAAGGACTTTTTTCCCTACCAGTGGCCCTGTGGGCATGTGATGCTAGTTCCATATTTGTACAGATCAGAAGCTGACAAAATTGTTTTTTACTTGCTTTTTTTTTTTGGCTGTTGGCCTTATTTAGAATTACCAACCTCATCAAGGACCACATAGAAAAAAATATATGGTAAACGCTACACCCAGATTTCCTGGTAATACAATTTTTTGGGGGATAATCTAAGATTATAATCCCTCGCTACACCTTTGGCCAGACACATTCACCTATTGAAACCGTATATATATTCCTAAATATTCAACAACAGATTGCACAATTTATTGCCTGGCATATTTCGCTGTATCTCGTCAGATGCCTACTACAGTAACAATGAATTAAAATGAAGCAAACAAATGAATTCTTCAAACTGAAACAAAAATCACTACATTCAAAATTTGTCTGCTTCACCAGGGTAAACGCAAGGTGAAGACCATGTCCTTTTATCTGCATAATTCAGGACTAAACCAGTTGCTTCCACAAATCTCAACAATCTTTGGTTGGCTGAAGTATAAATAATTTAAAATACATCTATCTTGTTCATAATGTGCCCAGAATTCAAAATATGGATGAATATATAAACTGACTTTAATACATTATCTCTAGAGATGATGGCATGATTCAAAGGGTCAATTTATTGTAAAGACACTTGGACAGGCCTGTACATCCATTTAACTGTTTTTCACTCATGCAATACAAGCCTGGCCTAGTGTGGACATTATTCAACTGTACTCGAATGATTTATTCCAGCGACACGCAACAATCAGAATTTGAAATGCTTAAACAAACACTGCTTTGTAATGGATATCTAGGTGGTGTTATTAAGCCCCATTGCCATCAGCCCAAACCAATTACCGTAGAAATGTCGGTGCTAACTTTTCGGAAGATGATATTTTTCAACGTTTACATGACCGACTCAAAACAGCAGTCAGTCAAACTTGTTACACAGCCATACATGTTATCAGATTTAAAACTACTGTAATTCCTAGATCATCAGTGAAAGAGCTAGTGTTGATGTAAGCCAAATCTAATTGTATTTACCAATTTAAATGCACCTGTAATGCTGGGTGACGACTGGAGAAACAGATCGCTGAACATATTCCACTGTGGGTGTAAAAGCAATGCAAAACACTAAGAACAACAACAATAAATTAAGTGACTGGTCGAAAAAAATTCCCTATCAGCCACAAAGTTTCATATTGTGAATTCTGGGCACATTGTAAACAAGCAAGAGGCATTTTGAATTATTTACACTTCAGCCAACTGCAGATTGATCGAATGGTCATGGCTAACTGGCGGACCAGGCTTTCTTAAAAAATGACCTTGGCTCCCAGGTCGCCCAGCCTTGAGTGGATACCAGGTGCAGTCAAGGGAAGTAAAGATGGCCAGCATGATGTTGACATCACTTACCAAGTGCTGACTGCTCTATAAAATACAGGTCTAGCCCTGTGTGCCCAATACCGGTCTAGTTCAGAATTATGCAGACAAAAGGACATGATCTTCACTTTGTGTTAACTCTGGTGAAACAGTTTATGAATGTAGTCCATTTTGTGTTACAGTTCGAAGGTTCATTTATTTGCTTTATTTTAATCAACTGTTACTGTAGTATTATGCACCTGATGAGATGCAGCGAAATATGCCAGTCAATAAATTATGCAATCTATTGTTTGTGTTCTTTGTTCAAATTATATTTTATTATCAAAGTTGGCCAACAGAATGTCTTCTAACATCTAAATTTGACCGTAACATGTGTTTTACTAGCAGGATCAAAGATTTGGTGACATCAATGTTAAGGTTATCACTGTTTTTGGATGTTGATAGCTGGATTTTTTTCTTTCTGCATATGAACATATGTTTTTGTGTTCTGCTTTTGTGTGAGCTCAGTGACCAGATTATACAGTAATTTTACACCAGCCTCGCAAGCCAGTAAAAAACTGCACTAAAGAGAAATAATGAGAAAAACAAAACATGCGAGGAAAACATGAATACGTACCTCTCCTCACAGTGTGACAAACCAAAAAATCAAGCTGTTTATAAACTGAAGCAGACGTAGAGGGGAGATTAATCTTTCGCGCCACCTCAACCAAGAGGTAGTTGCACACTAATGTTAGTTCTGCAGCTAAAACATCAGCGGATGGAGGCCATACTGTAAAAAACAAAATAATTAATTAAGTTGATTTTTCTGGGCCCTCAGTTGGCCTAATCTAAAACTAGCACCTGGAAATTTCCTGACATGTGAAGGTGGCCGAGATCACATCACCTATCAAGTGCCAACTGGTCTAAAGAACATGACTCTAGCACCACATATCGGATTTGTCAATGGCAGGAGAAACATCCTTTACTTTTTACTACATTTTAAAATAGCTGATTATGTCATATTTATCATTGACAACTTTTTATATACGAGGGGCTTCAAAATAAAACCTTTAAAGTATGAAAGAAATCACAATAACCATGTTACTGTTTTGTAACCTGCCAACATTATTGTTAAGGATGTAAAGAGTGTGAAAGCATTTGACAACACAGTGCAGACAAATAGAGCAACATCATAATGACAGTTTAAAGATGGCTGTGCCATATTTGCAGAGTTCTATCCAATTTTTTATCAGTGAAGAGGTAAAATCCTCAGAAATTCTACGGCAAATGAAGGTACAGGTAACATCAAAATGACAGTTTAAAGATGACTGTGTCACATTTGCAGTGTTCTCTTATCCCTTTTTTGATCAGTGAAGAGGTGAAATCTTTAGAAATTCTACAGCAAATGAAGGTTCAGTATGATGATGCACACCAGTCAGTCCAGCAAGAGTACGAGTGGAGTGGGAAGCTTCAAAACAGTGTAATTTCTGTGACAGACTCTTTACCATGGGTTCAGGCTTTATGCTGTTGTACAAACCATGTCACTGAAGAAATTGACTATTATTAAAAAAGTAAGAATTTCAACTCGTTCAGTCTCAGAAGGTCCCAGCTGATGTCCAAGATGGGCAAATATGACAACATCAAACCCATAGGTGTTCTACTTCCACAGGTGCCAAATACATAATCCTTGCAGTTGAACAGTTGTTGTCATTGTTGTATGTAGTTTTAGTGAGAGTTAATAAACGGTTACCCCCATTATTGCCCTCGTTGCTAGGGGCGGGGCCAGGTACACTGCATCCATCAGCCTGGCATCACCCCTTCAACGACCTGATTGCCTTCAATGCCGACCGTTCAAAAATAAAGGAATAAGAATTGTCTTGGGGTGCACATTCATCATGATCCTTCGAGTCAAGTGCCTTGCCAACTGGCATGGGTGATCATGCTTCTCCACAATGTCTTCTCGTTCTTCACGTTCACCAGCTGTAAACTCTGGTAGAAATTCTGGTTGTTCATCCACTTCTGGACTGCAGTTCTGTTCCAGAACCTGATAGTTACATGTGCATCGGTTTTTGAAATCTGACTCATTTATATGGAGACTGCTGGTTCTTTGCCTCAGGCAGATGCACTCTGACTCTGAAGGAAGCTCCCAATTAGTCGACTCTTTCGACATGCTTTTGCATTGGCAGTGGGTCTATTCTTGTTTTCTGTGATTTTCCACATGTATCAGTTCATGTGTTGACACCCCTCCATGCCAGGACAAAAGGCCATCAAGAATCTTCTTGTCTTGTCTCTCTCTTTTCCCACAGATCTTTTCAGTGGTTACAACATATTCCAGATTTCCCCCCCCCCCCCCCCCCTTTCATAACATAACTCAAAAATGACAACTGTCTCTTTCTGATCTTTGTGATAAGTTGTCTTCAACCCCTCATCTTTTTAAAAACATCTTGGTTGCTCTTTTTTGCTGTTTAGATATCATTTATACAACTATAAAAGAAATGATAAA